TGGTTATGGGGTGGGGATCTCAACTGTTTCCAAGCTGTGACTCAGAAACTAGGTCCCTAGGGTTGTGGCCAGACCCCAGGATCAATTCAAATATCATGACTGCATTTGTCTCTTTTTGCCCAGCATTTGTATATATAGTTTTGGGGTGGGGATCTCAACCGTTTCAAAGTTATGACCCAGGGGTTAAGTCTCCAAGGGTGGGGCAGTTCTCAAGGCCATCCTGGAAGCATATGTGCAATCATCTCTTTATACTCAGCAATTGTATATACCGTTACAGGGTGGGGATCTCAACCATTTCCAAGTAATACACTTTTTTTGGCCCCACCCCTAAGCCCGTGGGGTCAGCCCCACCATTTGTACAATTTTGAATCTGTGCCTCCCATGAATGCTTCCGACCAAATATGATCAATATCCATGGCATAGTTCTACAGAAGAAGTCGTTTATAGCAATATAGCCAAATTGCCCCCTTTTTGGCCCCGCCCTCGGCCCCCTCGAGGTCAGCCCCACCATTTGTACAATTTTGAATCCCCACCACCTAGGGATGCTTCCAGTCAAATATGGTTGATATCCACTTCTTAGTTCCAGAGAAGTCGCTTAAAGCAATATTGCCAAATTGACCCCTTTTTGCCTCGCCTCTCAGCCCCCTGGGGGGTCAGCTCCATCATTTGTACAATTTTGAATCCCTGACACCTAGGGATGTTTCCAGTCAAATATGGTTGATATCCACTACTTAGTTCCAGAGAAGAAGTCGCTTAAAGCAATATAGCCAAATTGACCCCTTTTGGCCCCGCCCCTCAGCCCCCTGGGGGGTCAGCCCAACCATTTGTACAATTTTGAATCCCCACCACCTAGGGATGCTTCCAGTCAAAGATGGTTGATATCCATGGCACAGTTCTACAGAAGAAGTCGTTTGTAGCAGTATAGCCAAATTGCCCCCTTTTGGCCCCGCAACTCAGCCTCCTGGGGGGTCAGCCCAACCATTTGTACAATTTTGAATCTCCACTACCTAGGGATGCTTCCAGTCAAATTTAGTTGAATTCCAATCAGTGGTTAAGAAGAAGAAGTCGTTTAAAGGAATTGTTGACGGACGGACGGACGACGGACGCAACGGTATGGCATAAGCTCACCCTGTGAGCTAACAATGCTTGTCATAAGAAGTTACTTAAGAAGAAAATAGTACTCACAATATCTGGACAGATTCCCTGAAACATCAAAACAGCAGATAGTTATTCGTCAAATTTCACTGATTTCATAAAATAGCATGGACTTTATCTTATCACTTATATAGTCATGTATAGCAGAGTTCACATAGCCCAGCAACATCTGTTCCCAGTTAGGATTGTAGCACAGCTGGGTTAGTTCACACAGCCCAGCCACCTCTGTTCCCAGTTAGGATTGTAGCACAGCTGGGTAATGACAGGGGCAATTCTGTATAGAAAAGGTGAAATTGGCCCCTATATCAGTGGCTGCATAGTTGGCACCAGATTAATCTGGTTTGATTAACGAGGCTGGACTGTTGTGATTCCAAGGTCGTTTGACTTGACACAGCCTTTGAACGAGTATAATTTTATCATTTTTTTATGTAAAACATTAGTCACAACTTACCAGGTCAGTGAAAGGCATATCCTCTTGGGGTACGATCAGTCCACACACACTGAAACAACAAAGAAGCACTTCATCATACGTTTAGTCATTTATAGCAATAAGATAATTTCAATATGACATGATGAACAAGTTAAGAAGCTACATGTCCAGCCTTTGTTTCGACAAAAAAACACATAAACATGACAGTGACCTTCACTCTAGGAAGAAACTGTTGATATTGCTATAACACAAATGTGATCAAAATTTCATAAATAAACTAAACAGTAGAGGAAATACAGACAAATTGATGCATACCTGAGATAATTATATTAGACTATAGCTGCTGAGGATTCCTTATATAAAACACATGAAAATTGAGAAAAATGTGTGATGGTTTGCAGTTTTTGTAAACCTTCATTGCTGTTCTACACATTTACATGAAGCAGTGAAACCATCTGCAGTAAGTAACTTGTGAATGATCAACTGAGTAGATGGACCAGTTATCAAACTCTTCTGTTGCAGTGTATTAGAGTTACCTACCCCTTCTGTCCGTGTCGACTGCTGAATTTGTCACCGATCTCTGGTCGCCTGGTCTGTCGCAACAGCATCTTAATAAGGAAAGCCTCCTCTGGGTTTGAGGTGATGAGGACCTTCTCTACGTAGGACGGTTCCCCTCCCTTGTACCTGTGGGAGACACAGGTAGAGAACAAGTGGAGATGATCAGTACCTCTGTCTGCGGGGGGTCTATAGGGGGCTACTCATCATCACATGATATGGGGATGTCCCTGTACTCTGGAGTCTTCCCTTATTTAGGGGGTCAGTACACGGTTTACTTACATAATATTGATACAATAATAAAACATGTGCCTTAAGATAGATATCTTTTCTCATTTATTCTATATTGTTTTTGTTCTCTGCTTGAAGAATTTGTTCAGAGGGGGTCAGTAGGATTACTCACATCATGGGGACAATCTTAACAAAACTTTGTTATGGGGATCGCAGGGTTTACTTACGTTATTGGGACATCCCTGTACTCTGGTTGCTGAGTCTGTCCTGAGGGGGTCTGTAGGGGGTTCAAGGTCACAGTAGGCATGTATTTGTTAACCATTACCTGTTTACTCTCCACCTTCTCACCTGTAATCAGGTAAACAACTGGTACTTAGGATGATCAGCATACAAAACAAATACAATCAATATGATATATGAAACAAGCGTTACCAAGTGATATGTTCTCTTCCACGTACTGAACAAAAACTAAAACCATTACCCTCTGCTGCGCAATAATGTTCCTCTCCACTGAACAATAATGTTTCCCTCCACTGAGCAATAATGTTTCCCTCCACTGAGCAATAATGTTCTCTCCACTGAGCAATAATGTTTCCCTCCACTGAGCAATAATGTTCTCTCCAATGAGTAAGACCTTTTGGCAAGGAAGCCCTGTTTGATTTGATTAATCCTTTGAATGAATGTGCAGGAACAGAGGATTAAGATAGAAGGATGTGTCATTATACTGGACTCAACATTTGGTGTAGGAGTATATTGACACTGACATTTATCAAAACTTCTCTAATGAAGTAAAAGACAAGCAAGATACCAGATCTGTTAATCATATTATCTGTAACATCGACCTGTCAATACATCAGACAACACAGTCAACCTATTGTGAACATAATCCTATATTCCTGGGGAAACAATACAGGTTCTCTCCAGGATATGCTGTGTTGCTATTGTTACCTGGGGAACAGATACCATCCATGTCGAGGATGCTGTGTCTCCAGACTGGTCGATGTGTTGTGGCATCCAACATTGGTCCCATCACCTTGTCAAAGCTGTGGTTGGCGTAGCGCTTCAGGGTACATGCCTGTTTTCTGTACACGAGGCACCTTCCAAATCCTGGGGTCAGAGGTTACAGAGATTCAGGGCCAGAGGTCATGAGGTTACAGTTCAGATTGAAGTTCACTTTTACTTTGTGTTGAGTTTCAATTTAATTGTAGTGCAATATTTTCATGTTGCAGTTCATATCAACTCTTGGGAATGTTCAAAATATTGTAAATTTAAAAGTTGAGTGAACCATCGTTTTTTCCGTTACATTAAACTTAAGTATAGATAAGGCCTACTTCTGTCAACCAGCTAGTAGAACATTAGACCTAGCCCTGTCTAATAGAACATTATACCTAGCCCTGTCTAGTATAACATTAGACCTAGCCCTGTCTAGTAGAACATTATACCTAGCCCTGTCTAGTAGATTATTAGACCTAGCCCTGTCTAGTAGAACATTACACCTAGCCCTGTCTAGTAGAACATTATACCTAGCCTTGTCTAGTTGAACATTATACCTAGCCCTGTCTAGTATAACATTAGACCTAGCCCTGTCTAGTAGAACATTATACCTAGCCTTGTTTAGTAGAACATTAGACCTAGCCCCCCTGTCTAGTAGAACATTAGACCTAGCCCTGTCTAGTAGAACATTATACCTAGCCTTGTCTAGTAGAACATTAGCCCTAGCCCTGTCTAGTAGATCATTACACCTAGCCTTGGCTAGTAGAACATTAGACCTAGCCCTGTCTAGTAGAACATTATCCCTAGCCTTGTCTAGTAGAACATTAGACCTAGCCCTGTCTAGTAGAACATTATACCTAGCCTTGTCTAGTAGAACATTAGCCCTAGCCCTGTCTAGTAGATCATTACACCTAGCCTTGGCTAGTAGAACATTAGACCTAGCCCTGTCTAGTATAACAATCGACCTAGCCCTGTCTAGTAGAACATTAGACCTAGCCCTATCTAGTAGAACATTAGACCTAGCCTTGTCTAGTAGAACATTACCCCTAGCCCTGTCTAGTAGAACATTAGACCTAGCCCTATCTAGTAGAACATTAGACCTAGCCCTGTCTAGTTGAACATTACACCTAGCCCTGTCTAGTAGAACATTATACCTAGCCCTGTCTAGTAGAACATTAGACCTAGCCCTATCTAGTAGAACATTAGACCTAGCCCTGTCTAGTTGAACATTACACCTAGCCCTGTCTAGTAGAACATTAGACCTAACCCTGTCTAGTAGAACATTATACCTAGCCTTGTCTAGTAGAACATTACACCTAGCCCTGTCTAGTAGAACATTACACCTAGCTCTGTCTAGTAGAACATTAGACCTAGCCTTGTCTAGTAGAACATTACACCTAGCCCTGTCTAGTAGAACATTACACCTAGCCCTGTCTAGTAGAACATTAGACCTAACCCTGTCTAGTAGAACATTAGACCTAGCCCTGTTTAGTAGAACATTACACCTAGCCCTGTCTAGTAGAACATTAGACCTAGCCCTGTCTAGTAGAACATTAGACCTAGCCCTGTTTAGTAGAACATTAGACCTAGCCCTGTCTAGTAGAACATTAGACCTAGCCCTGTTTAGTAGAACATTAGACCTAGCCCTGTCTAGTAGAACATTTGTGGAGAGTATAGAGACCTACCTCTATCTAGTGATGCCTTGTTGAGGATGAGGGCATCCTCTATGTCATACCCACTGTAGCTCATCACAGCCACAGTGGCATTCTGTCCCGCTGGTAACTTGTCAAAATGGATCAGCTCAATCGTCTGAAAGTAACACAAATCACAACTGTTATATATTTACATAACCTACAGGTGATCTCTCTTCCTGAGCATGTGACAGTTTGAACAAGTACACTGCCTTAGAATGATGACCAAGAGGTACATTAGTTTACCAATGTTTACCTCACACTTGAGGAGCCAGCTCTGAGCTAACATAACATGATGACTTCCCACCTTAGAATTGATGAGCAAGGTCTCTGGTAATCATTAAACCTGTTTCTTACCTTAGACTTGACAAGTGGAGCCTGAGGGTAACATAACAGATAGAGCAGGGTGTCAATTCTGTTCCTTTGGTTGTACCCAATGGTACCTGTATCAAAAATAGCATTAATAATCATTTATAGACAGAAGACATGAAGTCATTATTCTATATGGTTTAGGTTTTTTACCAGTCACTGATGCAATAAGCGAGTAAATTGCGAAAATATTTGATTTTTTGACAAGTATGTTAAAAAAATTCTAATATTTCTTGTTGATTTATAAATCCTGTAAGAGGTTGTTCTGAATAAATATGAGGTGAAATATTAGCAGTTTTTACCCATAGCCTGCTTGACCATAGCGCTTTTAAAAAGGCTTGTAGATGATACCAGGAAACTGAATATTACCCATGGCCTGCTTGCCCATAGCACACTAGTAAGTGTTACGAGGAGAAATAAACCTGTGACTTACCCATGGCCTGCTTGCCCATAGCACACTGGTAAGTGTTACGAGGAGACTGATTGTGATGGGGGTAGGGGATCAGACCAGCACATACCCCTAATATGGTAAATGGTTCTATCTCCAGATGGGTTGTCTCCCTTAAACATCAAACAAGTACCACTGTAGCAGAACAAAAGGCACACCTCCCAGGTGAAAGGCACATACATATTTGTTCTTAGAATTCTTCAGATGCATTCATGTATTAAAATGTATGACAATATTAAAATGTATTAAAATGTATGACAATATTAAAATGTATGACAATATTAAAATAATAAAATGTATGACAATATTAAAATGTATGACAATGTTAAAATGTATGACAATGTTAAAATGTATGACAATGTTAAAATGTATGACAATATTAAAATGTATGACAATATTAAAATGTATGACAATATTAAAATAATAAAATGTATGACAATATTAAAATGTGACAATATTAAAATGTATGACAATGTTAAAATGTATGACAATGTTAAAATGCAATCAGAAGAACCTTCATTTGCAGAATAGCATTCAGTAAAGTTGAATGAATTACGTCTGGGTATTTGTTGTAAGGAAAAAACATACTGTATCTTTTTCACAAACTGAAGGAATATATATCTGTCAAATATAAAACTAACTACTTGGGCTATTTGGAAAATATATGCATACAATCAAAATTTCAGAAATCAGGAACTCACTGGCAAATCTTTTGGAAAGTTAATTAAATAAAAAAAAAAACATTTACTGAATATCAAAAAATGGAACAAACCAAGAACCTGTAAAAGACAAACATGATTTCTCTGAGATAAAACCTTGGAAAATATCAACGATATTTGTTTTAGATAGGCAGAAAATCTCCTTGCAAAAAGTTATGAGTGAGAGATATTTTAACTTGCATATATTATAACAAGGTTACCGCGAGCGGTATATAATACGCCCGTCACACATTGAATGAGCAGTTGTTTGTATGATTGAAATATATGAAGTATTTGTGAGTAATTGATATTAAAAGAGAAATCATTCAACATAACTGGTAGATCAATGAGTGCAATACAACATCATGGAACGCATGCATCGCATTAATGAAACCAAGGG